ATACATTGTTGAGTACGGGGCACACGTGCGAAGAAAGAAAAAAAATATTACTGGTCTAATCGAGAAGTCAATGCAAACAACAGCGATATCATTGGTTTCGCGCAGTTTGTTCATTAGACCGACGGCAGTTACTGTTGTGTGAACACACAACAAACATTTTTGTTTCTTTCACCTACAGAGATAGAGCATTATCTACTCTATAAGATGGAATATAACAACATAGACATGCGATGTGGTTTTCGAGGAACGGCAATAGGTCTAAGCTAGCCTCACAATGGATTTTCTCACTTTTCTTGTCGCGTATAATGCTAGTAACGGTGCATGTTTCACACTTTTAAGAAAACACCGCGTGGGACATCCTTAAAAAGATGCTTGCAGCTACCTACTCGAGCTATTTACCTCGGCAGGTAAACTGCCGAGAGTCTCAAAACCCCTTTAACATGCTATCTTCCTATTTCCTATTTCCTATATTCCTATATCCTAATTTCTTTCTATTTCCTATTTCCTATTTCCTATTCCGGTAAGCCAAAGTATAAGGTATAGAGATAGTCATAAGCCAACAAAACTGAACATTGATGGTTCAATACAAGTTAGGGGTAGGAATAAATCATTAATATTTAAGGTTAGTGCAATCAGCACAACAGCACAATAAACCAGCAGGAGCTGTAAAGGTTAGAATAAGGGAATGGCAGCTGGTAAATTATAGAGTAGCGGGCGGCAACACACGACGTAGTCGGGTGTTGTCGCCAGGGCTAGCTTAATAAAAAGAAGGTTGCAATGAGGGAATGAATGATACCGGGCGGCAACACACGACGTAGTCGGGTGTTGTCGCCAGGGATAGCTTGAAAGATGGGTGCAATCTTGAACATGATCCTCCCTTCTTCTATCTGTCTTTCTGCCGAGGTATCGCAGCTCCCGCTGACTTAGATACCATAGCTATTATAGACTAGCTATAGCTAGAGTGTTTCTTCCGGTTTGAAAGCTCAACTAACTAGCACATTACTTACTTGTAGTTCAGCCATGGTCCAGAGCCAAGCACTTTGCCCAGTTGGGTTCACAACTTCAGTCCACTGTGCTGCATGGCAATGCCAGAACAGGTTCAATATTATAAATACCGGTACGTCGAATTGGCATGAAAGAGGTGATATTGTACGTTGTGGTTGGGGGTAAACATTTACAGCACCGGTACCATAGCAAACATGCACAAGTCGGATCAACTCTTTATGCTCCACATAATATGATGGTCGCCACACCATTGGCCCTGCCGGTACCTGGTAATAATGATAGTGGGGCGTCAGCCATTGTGTTGAAAACATGCTTGGGAAAAGCTGTTTCTTGACTGCAAAATAGCCAACGAAGTCCAAGCTCGTTGAGGAGCAAAATGGCGATGCATCGGTGCGGTAGCCTACAGCTGCATTGGAGGTTAAAATACCATTGGATGTGAAATGATAGATCCCTGCCTACAAGAGATCCAACCTAGCTACCCTCCGGATCCGAGCTGCTACGTATGAAGTGTTTGATGTCGCACCGTTGTACTGTACGGCTCGTTGGTTCCCGCTACCAGGTACCTATTTAGTCGGCCACTTCTTGATGTACGCCTTCTGCTTGATCTCATATTTTTCGTCTTTTTCAGCGCCACGCTCGATCCAAACCACCGTACCGGTATACGTTGTGGTTGGGAGTACTGCAATGAAACCCATTTACAGTATCCTACCGTATAGAAAACATGTACAAGATAAAGGCTGGATCCACTCGTCATCAAGCCACTTATAGTCGCCCCGCCGTTGGCCCTACGGGTTCAAGTTGGGCGATGGTGCTGGATACCAGGTTGGTGCGGTCGGGAGAGAGAGGTTAGGGGGGGGAGTCACTGGCGGAAAAGTAGAGTTGGAATTCCAGCTGTTGTCACCAATTTCATTGTTGTCCGTTCCAGGAGGGGAAGGCTGTTTCTTGAGTGCAAAAAATGCCAACGCAATTCCAAGCCCATTGAGGAGCAAAATGGCGAACACAACGCACACAAGAAAATTCTTGGACTGGACCATGATATTCATATGATCCACACAGCGATCGAAAAAGCCTGGGCGTTTCTCCCCGGAGGCTGCTTTGCTCTTGACCTGATTGGATCCGTCCACGAGCAATAAGGGATCACCTTCCGGACTATTTTCTTCTGTTGAAGGAGACACAAATTGTGCGTTTTCTTGCTCTGAACCAGATGTACTCAGCGGATCCTCGATATTGGTTGTTTGGTGAGCGCTGTTGTTGTATACTCCGGATGCGGTGGAAACGTCGCAAGGTCGTTCCACAAGGTAGCCGCCATCCATGACTTCTAGCCCCCGGGAAGATCGTTGCGACTTTGCGAGCCATTCTAGTCTAGCCTGTATGCTTCTTTGGCTCGAATCCCAACTCAGCTCGGGTTCGGGATCGCGAACAGGGACGATTGTGTCAAGTGGAATAGGTTGAGGAATACTATTCAATGCTACCCCCTCCTCGTCCTCATTCTCATCTTCAAACGACGATGAATCGAACGACTCGGAAGAAGACTTGGACACGATTATTTTTGGATTGCTCATCTTTCTTTTGATTGTCTTTGATTTTGTCTTCTCTGAAGTCTGACGGAGATTGGAGATGGGAGGGTTGGATGTTGGATGCTGTTGTGGATGCACTAAAAACATGAGACGCGGTTCGGTGACAGCTTTAAAGCTTTAAAGGAGCGTGAATCCAGTACCGGTACGACTGTACCTGGTACTCATTCGTGATTGGTACTAGTACTATTTTAAAATAGTACTATCATACTAGTATCATAGCTAGCTTGTCTAGAGCAACCAGTACCAGCAGGACAAGATGGCTTTTTGCGAGATGATCTGTCTGTTCGAACCCAAACAATTAGATCTATTCTAATAAATAGCTACGCAGCTACGCAAAGCTTTTTTTTAAAAATAAGTTTACATGTATCATAGCTTTTGCATAAGCTCTAAAATCATGTACATGTAACGGTACCGAAAGCTTGACAGGTGTTTTGTACATCAACAAATTGACGAAGCCGTGTGGTACAGTGTACCGAACAATTATCGACAGGTTCAGATCTGTATTGCATACCTGTGAAGGCGTGATGGTTCCGCAGCCCGAACCATGGTGTGCAAGAGCTACATTATCAAACTCCATGATGCCGTTTAGAATTGGAAAGTGTCAGGCGGCCTCATCGATTGCTGGGAATGGGGGCACGAGTCTAAAGATCAGGGGAGTCGACGATGTTTTTTGGTCAATTTGCTTCTGGGTGGCCTACCGGTACCAGTACCAGTGGAGCTAAAATCCATTTTATTAATGTTGACTTCCTACTATAATAGTGCATCGGTGATATTCCCGATATCGTAATCAGTATCCATGGCAAACTCAGCCGCATCCTGAAGATCCGGCACTTCGTCCACTGCTACATCGTTGTGAGCACCGTGCTCCTCAATAGTACCATCGCGCAAGACCTTTAATGTCTTTCCGCCATAGCTTGTCTCAAAGTAAAGATCTTTGGCTTGATAATGAAACGCTGGGTCCACGTTGATCCACATTTGTTCGGCCTCGTTGCTCTTGAATCGCGCTTGACTAATGGCTACTTGTTTATTGGCATTCCATAGCCAGTTTTTAATTGTGAAGTGTGGAAGTCCCAAAATGACCAACAAGCATCCCACTACGATAGTATACCACTTCCTCGTCACAGCCCCCACCAGCAAGACGAATACTCCAACAAGCAGAGTGCCCGCAAATAGCCACATGAAAAGACGGAGCCAAGAAAACGCGCCGTTCTGCCAACTCCATTCCACCAGACCAGCTTGCTTGATATTTGTAAAGCCGATGGGGTGGCAAGCAGCTGGCCTCCCAAACAAGGGGATATTGGTGCCGCCGCTTCCACTGGCAGGTGTTTGAGCTGTTGTTGGGGTTGACATTGCTGCTGCTATTATTTGATGCGGTTTCCTGAGAAAAGGGCTATGCGAATACGCGACAGAGCGAGCAGCAGTCTCATTTTTGTTGACGGTACCTGGTACCGGTACCAGGTACCTGAAGACAGTGCTAGACAGGTAGATGTGGTAAATATAGAGTTAAAGATACAGTTTACTCTGCGTATTTAACTCTTCCATCCGTGTTCTGCATAGTTCTGATTCCCCCTGTATGGCTCAGAGGTTCGGTCGTTGATGCAAAAGGTCCGTAGGATGTCCTTGACCCGTTTGCTTGCCTGGGCCTGGGCATTGTCGCTCCTGATGCAGTTCATTGCTCCAAACCTTCGGATGTTGTCCATCAGTGTCTTGACATAGCTTGCGTCACTGGTGCCAGCGGGGTGTAGTGACCTGTAGTGGGATGTGCGTCCAATGAAGAATTGGGCTGCCACAGATCCGTCATCAACCGCAGGGACACTGCCGTAGATAGTATCCGTAGCCACATCTTCTTGCCTTCTCGGAATGTTGAGGATCAGGTTGGGCGACAGTATCTGGCTTCGGAGAGTACAACCTTGGACAGCTCCCTTGGTACCATATTGGGTAGTGGCATCCAGTGTTCGCTTGAGTGTCTCGTCACTAGTTCCCGGAAAGAACCGCCGCATCATTGGAATCTGCTCAGGGGGACGCTTGCGGGATATGGGGGCAGCTCAACACCGGTGTGGTGCTTGGCCCTGTTGTTCGACTTGAGAATGTCTTCATCGTCGCTGGAACTGTCATCATCATCGCTTGGGAGTACTGTCTCAACTCGTGGTCGTCTGTCAACGGAGGACTGCTTCTTGGAATGAGGTCGTCTGACTTCAGGCATCTTCCGAGTCCTTTTCTCCCCATCCTTCATTAGGTCAGAGGGGCAGGAACGGGAGCGAGTACTTGGGGGCTCCCCACGAAGCTGGCCACGGGTTTGGACTCCAAAACAATGGCGTAAGTCCTCAGTGTCGGAGTCAGAATCATTACCAGAGGAGTCTGAGTCTTCAGCACCAGAGGAGTCGGCATAGGGGGCATAAGGTCGGGGACACGGGCAAAGCACTGTCGGAGGTCTTCAACGCCATAGTCATCCTCAAGGTCAGAATCATCGTCGGAGCTGGAGTCATAATGATGGCACTGGCGGGATAAGAGGGCGGGGGCATCATCAGCACTGGCAGGGACCAGATCGTCTTTGACAAGGTCAGCCATGGCAGCGATAATACCACGACGATCAATGGACTGCTTGGGGGTGGGACGAGATGGAGTCAGGGCATTGGCATCCATAGTCTTGAGTCTGCCCAAGCTGTCTAAAGGGGAATCTGCATCGTCAAGGACGGTAGTACTTTGGGTGTCATACCAATCATCGGACGGGACCGAATCAAGGCACGAGGGGTCCCACGGGTGTGGGCTAGTTAAATCTATCAAAGGGATGGAGTCGTCTTCCATCTCAGCATCAGTGGGTGGCCGCCAGTCGACATACGGAAGCCCATTGCGCATGGCCATGGGGACTCTGAAACCATTGGGTGTGACAAAGTAGGGGTCCACTCCAGTCACGGTCTTGGCTTTCTCATGAACACAACAACCAAAGTGCTCCATCTGACCGGGACAAGCAATGGTACGGCCGTCATACATGACAGCACCCTGGTGGATGCGACCAAGGATGGGACCATGGTCACTTCGCATGAACACAACCGCAGTAGCCAACTGGAGGTTTCGACTTGTGATTGTCAATACCATTAAATCAATGAATGTACCAATAAATTCACAACACGTAATCATTGCCAAGGATGAATCCATAGAGAGATTAGAAAGCTATGAAAACTAATCAACGAGAGAGATCATCATCAAGGGATCGTAGATCTGGCTTCCCGCGGGAGACTATAAAGTGTGATAGAGTAGGTTGTGGTAGTATCCTACGTCTCTCCACGATCCTAAAACGGAACGCGTGGAAGTTTGTCTAGCCTGGATCTAGTGCATGGAAGTACTCCACGCTGGCTAAATATCTAGAGCGCATGTTTCATCACTAACCTAGTAATGACAGCGCGGGTCATTGAGACCCTGGTCTCAAATGACTTATCACGAGAGACTCAGTCCATGGCTCGAACTCAAACCCTATACCTGGAATCGAGTCGCGAATAAGGCTAAGAGCCGTGTATTGCATGAGTCGAACTCAAACCTATCTAGGATCGAGTCGCGAATAAGGCTAAGAGCCGTGTATTGGATTCGCCCCCTGACAAGGGTGACAGAAGGCACGAACAGCAGCGTCGGACAAGGAGAACATATGATTTTAAAGTGCGGGCATCTCATGAGATTTGGATGTAGACATGTGCGTCGCACGATGTGCAATCCTACAAGGATCAGGCCTTGTATGGGTGTATACCTTATGTTCCAAGTCTGGTAGACTTGTGCCGCCTTGGCGGTAGATGTGAGCCGTACAGTCCATTGTACTATTGACTCGGTCTATAGTTAAGGACCTTTGTATTTGGCTGACCGTACTTGCGGTGCTGATACTGTTGAATCATCACCGTATCATTGAACTAGATT